AGAAGAAAGGGAGGAGAGTAGAAAAGAGGGGAGAAGAGATGAGAAGAGGAAAGGAGGTAGAAACAGAGGAAGGAGGGAGGGAAGAAAGAAGGAAAGAAAGAAAAGAAGGGGAGGGAGGGAGGGAAGAAGGAAGAAAGAGTGGAAGAATCAAGGAAGAAGGAAAAGACGGAAAAAAGGGAAGGATGAAGGAAGAGGGGAAAAGGAATAAAGGAACAAAGAGAGAAGAGGAGAGGAGAAAGGGAGAGAAAGACAAAGGAAGGAAGAAAGGAAGGAAGGAAAGGAGAAGAGGGAGGGAGGAAGGAAGACAGAGGAAGGAAAAGGGGAGGAAAGGCAGGAGGGAGAAAGGAAAAGAAGAGACAAGAAGGAAGGAAAGAAGGAGGGAGAGAAAGGATGAAATTTAAAGGTTCTATATGCTTCCAAGGCACTTAGCACAAATGGCTCCATTCTGGTTTGGTCTGCTTTACTGGGGCCTAGTGAAGAGGGCTGTCCAAAACAGTGGCCTCCCATAAACTGTGTTTAACATTTATCAGTGCCTGTTTGTTACAAAGGATATTTTAAAGAATACAAATGCACAGCCAGATGAATGGATACATAGGGTGAGGTTTGGAAATTCCTGAGCAGAAAAGTTTATCCTCATGGAGTTGGGTTGTGCTACTATCCTGGCACATTGATATGTTCTCGTTGATCAATGCAGAAGCTCTCTGATTCTAGCCTTTGTTTTTGTATGGAGGTTTCATTACCTAGACATGACTGATTCAATCACTGGCCATTGTGATTGACTCAACCTACAGCCCTTCTCCCCTCCAAGGTTGAGGGTAGCCTAAAGCTGAAAGTTCCAACCCTCTAATCACACAGGGGTTACCCTGGCAACCCCCTCTCATGCTGAGGCTATCCAGGATCCCCCAGCCCACATTCATCTCACTGGCATACAAATAGATACATCACTTTGGAGATTCTGTGGGTTTTTGGAGCTACATGCCAGGAAAAAGGAGAAAGACCAAATATATGTTTCCTATTATAAATCACAGTATCACAGAAGGCCAAGTAGAGAAAAACAAAGAAGTCCACACCTAGAAGTATTATAGCAACACCTAAAAATATCAAACACAAAGAATAAAATTCTAAAAGCTTCTAGAGATAAAGAACTAATCACTTATAAATAGGGTGACTGAACACCTATAAATAAGTGGACCACATGTCTTGACATACACAGGACAGTCCTGGGTTACGCCCACTGACAAGCCTAATTATTACTAGTATCCCCTTCACGCTCCAAAGTGCCCCAGTTGAATGATAAGTTATATCATCATCCTGCCTACAAAGGAGTAAGAGTCAGATTGATTGTGGACTCCTCAATAACAAAATGACACAAGAGAAAAACGGTAGAATGTTTTTAAAATGTTAAAAGAACTTTGAATACTAAAAAGTTTTATCCAATCAAATTGTCATTAAATGTGAAAGTATAATAAAAATATTCTCATTCATATATTTCCAAAATTTTGCCACATGTTGAAAACACTGAGAAAACAGCAAATCTAGCATATTTCTACAAAAGACATAAAAATTAAGGGTAACTGAATACCTAGGTAAAGTTTATTATAGGACCTGTCAAAAGAAGAAGTTTTTAGACAAAGTAAACAGTTTAATTGAGCAAATGACGATTCATGAATCAGCAGCACTAAACCAGTGGCAGTTCAGAAAGCTCTGCTCCTCAGAGTGGGCAGGGAGAGTTTATAGGCGGAGAAGGAAAGTGAGGTGCAGAATGGGTGTGACTGGTTTCAGCTTTGTGTTTGCTGTATTTGGATGTGGACTGATCAGCAGGAAGCCTGTGATTGGCTGAAGGCCACTGCTCAGATTGGCTGACACTCAGCTGTTTGTTACCAAGAATACTCCTTAATTAGGCTTTCAGTTTGTTTACCTACTAAACCAGTTTATACTTCCTTACTCAAGGATTTAAGCTATGGCAGCCTCAGGCCAAGTTTTAATTTAACAGATCAAAAAAGGAAAACGACTGTATTCATAACAGCCCAGAATTAAAATATCGACATGATGGGGGCTGAGGGAAGAGGGAGATTAAGGGACATAATCATGTGCAAAAATTCTTGACTTTAAAGCACTGTAGATGTTGCTAAGTTTATTACTATGGGTAAATACACATAATTACAGGCTTCAAATTAACCACTATGAGAACAGAAGTGTAATGTTTAACTTTTAAACTGGCAGAATACTCAAAATGACCAAAAAGAAAGAAGAAAAAGAGACTTTAAATAAACAAAACAAAAATTCAAAAAAAGATATGAAATAAATAGCAAAAATACATCCTGTTTATGGTCATTGTGATAATTATAAATGATTTTTTAAAACTCACAAAAACAAAAGATAAAGATTCTCAGATTGAATACTAAAAATTCAATGATATGATGTCCAGGAAGATTGAAAATAAAAGATGGAAAAAATAGCAAATAGAATTCAGCACCACATAATTTATCATGATCAAGTAAGATTTATTCCAGGAATGCAAAGTTGGTTCAATATTTGAAAATTCATTAATATCCTCTATGTATTTATAGATCCAGGGAGACATTACAGTTATCCCACAGATGCTGTAAAAGCCTTGAACAAAATTCAAAACCCATTCCTGATAAAAATTACTCAACTGAAATTGACAGGTGCTTTATTAATAAAATGAACTATGTCTTATCAGTATATATGGGCACACTTCGTTTTATTGCTTTCTGCTTTACTGTCTTTCACAGATACTGCTCTTTTTACAAGTTGAAAGTTTGTGGCAGAGCAAATCTATCAGTGCCATTCTTCCAACAGCATTTGTTCATGTTGTATCTCTGTCACATTTTGGTAATTCTCACAATATTTCAAAATTTTCCATTATTATCAGTTATGGTGATCTGTGATCAGTGATCTTTGATGTTACTACTGTAATTGTTTTAGAGTGCCAAGAACTGTGCTCATATAAGATAGCAAAGTTAATCAATATACATTGTGTGTATTCTGACCGCTCCACTGACCAGCCATTCCCCTGTCTCTCTCCCTCTCCTCAAGCCTCTCCATAACTTAAGAAATAACAATATTGAAATTAGGCTAATTAATAACCCTGCATGGCCTCTCAGCATTCAAGTGAAAGGAAGAGTCACATGTGTCTCACTTTAAATCAAAAGCTAGAAATTATTAAGCGTATTGAGGAAGGTATGTCAAAAACTAGGCCTCTTCCATTGAATAATTAGCTACAGTGTAAATGCAAAGGAAATTTTTCAGGAAATTAAAAGTAAGTGTCACTCCAGTGGACAAATGATCAAAAAATGAAAGTGCCTTATTTTTGATATGGGGAAAGTTGTAGTAGTCTGGATAGAAGATTAAACCAGCCACAATCCTCCCATAAGCAAAAACCTAATCCATAGCAAAGCCCTAACTCTATTAAATTCTATGAAGCCTGAGGGAGGTGAGGAAGCTGCAGAAGAATGGTTTCAAGCTCGTTGGTTCATGAGATTTAAGGAATGAAGCCATCTCCATAACATAAAACTGCGAGGTGAAGCAGTAAGTGCTGATGTAGAAGCTGAAGCAAGTTATCCAGAAGATCTTACAAAGATAATTGATGAAGGTGGCTACACTAGATAATAGACTTTCAATGTAGACAAAACAGCCTTAAATCAGAAGATGTCATCTAGGACTTCCAGAGCTAGAGAGAAGTCAATGCCTAGCTTCAAAGCTTCAAAGGACAGGCTGACTCTCTTGTTAGGGGCTAATGCTGCTGGTGACCTTAAGTTCATACCAATGTTCACTTACCATTCTGAAAATCCAAGGGCCCTTAAGAATTACACTAAATCTACTCTGCCTGTGCCTGTACTCTGTATAAGGAACATCAAAGCCTGGATGACAGCACATTTGTTTACAACATGGTTTAATGGATATTTTAAGCCCATTGTTGAGACCCACTGCTCAGGAAAAAAGATCTCTTTCAAAATATTACTGCTTATTGACAAGGTACCTGGTCACCGAAGAGCTTGGATGGAGATGCACAAGATGAATGTTGTTTTCATGCTTGCTAACACAACACCCATTCTGCAGCTTATGGATCAAGGAGTCATTTAGACTTTCAAGTCATATTATTTAAGAAATACCTTTTATAAGCCTACAGTTGCCATAGACAGTGATTCCTCTGACGGATTGGGGCAAACTAAATTTGAAAACCTTCTGGAAAGGACTGACCATTTTAGATGTCATTAAAAACATTCATGATTCACGAGAGGAGGTCAAAATATCAACATTAACAGGAATTTGGAAGAAGTTGATTCCAACCCTCATGGGCGACTTTGAGGGGTTCAAGACTTCAGTGGAGGAAGTAACTGAAGATGTGGTAGAAATAGCAAGAGAAATAGAATTAAAAATGGGGCCTGAAAATGTCACTGAATTGCTGCAGTCTCATCAGAAAACTTGAACAGATGAGGGGTTGCTTCTTATGACTGAACAAAGTGATTTCTTGAGACAGAATCTATCCCTGGTGAAGATGCTGTGAACGTTGTTGAAATGACAACAAAAGATTTAGAACATTGTATGATGAACTTAGTTATAAAGAAGTGACAGGGTTTAAGAGGACTGACTTCAATTTTTAAATAAATTCTACTGTGGGTAAAATGCTATCAAACAGCATTACATGCTATACAGAAATGTTTCATGAAAGGAAGAGTCAATCAATGCAGGAAACTTCACTGTTGTCTTATGTTAAGAAATTGCCACAGCCACCCCAACCTTCAGCAACCACCATCCTGATCAGTTAGCAGCCATCAACAACGAGGCAAGGCCCTCCACTAGCAAAAATATTATGACTCACTGAAGGTTCAGATGATTGCTAGCATTTTTTAGTAATAAAGTATTTTTAAATTAAGGCATGATCATTTTTTTTTTCAGACATAATGCTATTGCACCCTTAATAGACTATAGTATAGTGTAAATATAACTTTTACATGTACTGGGAAACCAAAAAATTTATAATTGCAATTTTTTGCTTTATTGTGGTGATCTGAAATTGAACGAAGGTCACTTTGGTAAAGTTCTCCTGGGCATTTTTCTACTAAAGGTTTGGCCAACTTTCTCAAAACATAATAAACAGACATCACTGCACTTTGGCCCTCCAGAAAGTCAACGAGCAAAATGTCTTGGCATCCCAAAACACTGTTGCCATAACCTTTGCTCTTGACTGGTCCACTTTTGCCTTAATGGGACCACTTTGGCCCCTTGGTAGCCATTGCTTTGATTGTGCTTGGTCTTCAGTATTGTACTGGTGAAGCCATGGTTTATCTCCTGTTACAATTCTTTGAAGAAATGCTTCAGGATCTTAATCCCACTTGTTTAAAATTTCCATTGAAACCTCTGCTCTTGTCTGCAGCTGATCTGGGCATGATGGTTTTGACACTCATCAAGTGGAAAGTTTGCTCAACTTGAAATTTCAGTCAGAATTGGGTAAGCTGAACCAGTTGAGATGTCTATGATGTTGGCTATTGTTTGTGCTGTTGTCAGTCCTCTTCAGTTAGGGCATGAACAGAATGAATTTTTTCCTCATAAATTGATGTGGATGGTCTGTCACTGCTTTGTATTCAAATTAATCTTGTCCCTTCTGAAAACAGGTTACATGCATTTTTTAACTGCTGATTCCTTTGAGGGCACTGTCCTTATAAGTGTCTTGTAAAGTATCAATGATTTCACCATTCTTGCAGCCAAACATCAGCATAAATTTGATGTTTGTTTTTGCTTCATTTTTTTTTCCTTCTTGCTTTCAAGTCATGTTGCTCTGACAGGGACTCTATTCAAATTGATGTCTTATCCTTCTTAATGCCTCAAACTTGAACGTGTTCAGACATGTTATAAAAAGTTAGTACAGGTTTATTTTGGTGCAAAAACGCTTAAAATTCATGCATAGCTTTTTCATAATACATATTTCCCATTAACTTTTGGATACCTCTCATATACATATATATATGTGCATTAGATTATTTATTGCAATATTGTGTTTATCGAAAAATATTAGAAACAATCTAAGTAGTCATTGAGAAAACTACAGAACAATGCAGTATTATGCTGCTGTGCCAAAAAAGGGGGAAAATCTCTGAAAACTGATATGAACTGATTTCCAGGGTACACTGTTAAATGAAAAAAGCAAAATGAAAAGAATATAATATACTATCCTTCACGTAAGAAAGAAGGGAGATGTAGGAAAGCATGCATGTATCAGCTCTCTTGTGCGGAAGAAACAAAGGAAGTAGAAACCAGAAATTAATGAGATTATTTACCTACAGAGGATGGGTATGAATGGGGTGGAAAGAATGAGGAGAGAATGAGAAGAGACAAGGGGAAACTGATATATCTGGGTGTAGCTTTTAATATAGTTAGGCTCTTAGAACAATGCTTTTCCATACTAGCCCAACAAATTAATATTTAAAATAAACTGGGATGGGGGAGCCCAAAATAGAATGGTCATTTTGTGTTAATCACTCATTGTAGACACTTAGGAGGGAGGCCGTTGGCCTTCAACCAGAGATGACCTTCAGTGTTTATGCCAGCCCTGTGGGATGGTGGGATGGGCTTCTCCCCATAGGATCAGATCCTTCAGTTCAGACACCACTTCTTTTCCATTCTCTCTCTCTCTCTCCCCCCCCCCCCCCAACACACACACATTCTTTGCATGAACCAATGGGCAAAGTGTTGTAATTCCAGAAGTTCACTAGAGATTATCTCATCTTTCCCTCTTCTTTTTTAAAAATAAGGAACCAAAGATCCAAGGACTTTCTTGAAAGTGACTTTCTTGCAGTTTTATAGCTGGTTAGGAGCTGAGCAAATGGCAATGAATTAACAAACCCTTTATGTCCAGAACCCTCCTCCTCTTCTCTATGGACACGGAAGGGAGAGAGTTGAGGACATTCCCAAGCACCCTTTTGTGACATCAAGAGTCCCCTCTCACTACCCACATTTCCCATCTAGGCCTGTTCATGGAGGCAGAAGGCGGTTAAGGGGTAGATTTTCTTTCTTTGCATCGAGGCCATTTGTTAATCACTTGCAGAAGGATTGTTACAAACAAAAAATGGAAGCTTTATACTTTTTCCAGTCTATGGAAAAAGACTTACCTAGCCCAGACACTACATCTGAGGAGTTGAGATTCACAAACATTTGGGAAGTTTTTGTCCTAGTGTTTTCTGTACATTTTAGTAGATAAAGGGATGTTCCAATAAGGAGAAGGTATGTGTTTCGGAAAGTACTTTTCTATTCCTAACAACAAACGCCTCAGAATCTGAATTTTGTGATGTCACAAGGTGGCAAAATTTTGCCACAAATAGTCTCAGACCTCAGGAAAAATCACATGACGTTGACATCATAAATGTATTGAGTCCAGCGGAGGCTGGGAAGAAGAGCAGATGTTCGGAGTTCCCAGGCTCTTGCTGCAGTGCTCCCTGCTCCTGGGCGTACGTAGGAGTCTTTTCTACCACAGCCCAATTACCATGTCCCTAAGTCACCTCAACCCACAGATGGGAAGAGCAGTCAGCCCTGCAGATATTTCAATGACATAGGAGATTTGATTAAGTTTATTTTATTGCACACTCAAAGTATTTAATCAGTTGCTAAAGCTGACAGCTACAAGCCAACACATTTCTTCTCGTCTTTTTTTTTTTAAACGTCTATCCAGGAGCCTGCATCTCCATTGCTGCTTTTGTAGTTGGCCTTGCAATGCTGTCTACAGCCCAATGCACAGATGCAGATGTCAAAAGGAAAAAGCACACAGCCTCTGGGGGACCACGCCCAGGGAGCCACTTTGTGCCGCAGGCTTTCTGGAAGGACATGTTCTCACTCAGGTTGTTTCATCTGAGATGTGTTAGGAAAAGTCCAAGGAATGAGCTGAAAATCAGGTAAATCAAGACAAACATTTTACCTAGAGTGGCGATTTGTAATAAAAATGTCGTAACTTGCTGTCTTAGAGGAAGATTCAGCTGCTGAAATTCAACAAAACGATCACCGGAAGCTGTTATTTACGGCATTCCTTAGTGGTTAGGTGAGTGAATTCTGGTCTTGAAGAGCTGGGTTCAAATTTTGAACTTACCTTACTGTGTGATCAACCTCAGACAAGTTATTTAACCTCTTTGTAGTCTATCTGTAAAAGGGAAATGTGGTGGTGTGCAAAGTGCCTAGAATATCTTATGTGTATAATATACACTAGCTATTATAAAGTCATAATTTTTATAGTACTCATCTTTGTCTCTGTAATGTCTCCTTTCCAAATCATTTTATTTATTTATTTTTATTTTTGAGACGGAGTCTTGCTGTTGCCCAGGCTGGAGTGCAGTGGCGCAATCTCAACAGACTGCAATCTCTGTCTCCCAGATTCTCGCGATTTTCCTGCCTCAGCCTCCCAAGTAGTTGGGATTACAAGCTCGGGCAGTCCTCTGCCTCCCTGACCAGGGCTCTCATCTCTGAATGTCTCCTTGCCTCCCACGTGTATGCTTCTCTGCAGGTGAGGTAAAGGGAAGGAGCTTGGTGGGCTGACATCAGATGTGGAGACCATGATCCGTTCCTGTCCTCCCCTTGGCAGGCCTGGAGGAAAGCAGAATGGGAGAAACAAGATTTGTCTCTCTCCACTCGGAGCCTCCTTTTATTCTGTGTTGGGAAAAAGCTGAGTGTTGGGAGGGAAACTGAGGCAGGACTTGCATAATTTCCTCTGGAATGTGTCTAGACTTGCTGGCTCCTTGCTTCTAGCCTTCTTGGGCTCCTATTCCCATTATCTCAAGTAGCAGAACATGTTCCATATAAATGCTAAACTGTCACAGCTGTAGATCACGAGCTTAATACAGCATGTCCTTTTGACCTCCACATTCTCACCACCAGTTTCTTAGTTGGATTACCAATAAATACCGTGGGCTTCTAGAGCTCGGGGTCTTTGCAGCCTCCGCGATAGCCCTCTGGTGTCTCACCTTTCTCTCTCAAACTGTCTTTTTCTCAATCCTTTGACTCGGCTGGACTTTGTCACCCCCATGACCTGGTGTTGGATCTGATCACCCCAACATTCCTGGCCGCCCAATGTGGGGTGACAAAGACCCTGGTGAAGGTAACGCTAGAGCAGAGGATACATCGTCAAAGGACACCAGAGGACATCTAAAAGAAGCTTGGTGGGAAAGCTGAGCACTCAGAAGAACCAGAGTAACATGGGACAAAGTGAAAGCAGACATTCTGCTTATACTAAATTTCTTAAAGCATTTATTTTGAAGAGGGGCAATGAAAATTAGTACTCAAAATTTGTTATCACTCACTCTAGCCCATGGTTCCTGGAAGAAGGGTCTATGGAGTTGGATGAATGGGAGAAAACTGGCAGATTTTTTAAAAAGCATATAAACATAGAGCAAAAATTCCAGTTTGGTTTGGTCTATGTAGGTGCTAATAAAAGCTCTTGAGCAGTTTCAAACAGAAGAAGATTCAGATGAGGAAGAGGAGGACGAGTGTAAGAAACTTCAGATTCTGAATGTGAGGAACAGGAAACGTAGGAAATCAAAGGGAAACTGGAGAAAGTATATTTTACCAGCCCATGGGCTCTACCTGCTGAACTAAGTGAAAGGTCACCTCCTCTTTCACCTCTTAATGGGCAAGATTAATTAGCTACAAAACTTCTCCTGTAGTTGCAACGTTAAAACCTGGAGCAATTGGTGGTGCTGTACAAAATTCTATTCAAAAGGCTAGAGCTGAGGGAGACCTTGAAGCAGGGCAATTTCCCCTAACTATAATCCAGCAGGGAGGACGGCAAACGCCCCTCTGCTGTTTCCAAAATCCATCTACAAAGGATAAAGACATACAAGTAGTTAAAAAGTGTACCCTATTCCTTTAAAAGCCAGGGTAAATTTAAAAACCTATAATTGATAATTGAAGGTCTTCTGACCCTATAATACTCCAATGCTACCTTTTTGTCAGTATAAGCAAGGGCGTAGCCCGAAAGCACTGAGACCACTGACAACCACTAGCCTTCCTATCAAAAATCCTTAACCCAGTAACCCGTGGATGGCCCACATACATTCCATTAGCAGCAACTGCTTTGCTGGCAGAAGAAAGTAGAAAAACAACTTTTAGAGGAAACCTCATTGTAAGCACACCTCACCAGTTCAGCGCTATCCTAAGTAAAACAAAAAGCAAAAAGGTAGCTTCCTAACTCAAAAATCTAAAAGTATAGGGCTATTCTGTAAGGAAAAGGTGATTTAACATTAACCACTAAAAATTCCCTTAACCAAGCAGGTTTCCTAACAAGGAATTTAAATCTTAATTACCATACAAAGGTCCGACCAGACCTAGGAGGAACTCCCTTCAGGACAGGACCATAGATGGTTCCTCCCAGCGATTGAGGGGAAAAAAAAAGCCCACGATAGGTACTCAGTAATTTATAGGGAAACTCTTGTAGAAGCAGTTACGAAAACTGCCTAATAATTGGTCTGCTCAAACGTGGGAGCTCTTTGCTCTCAGTCAAGCCTTAAAGTACTCACAGAATCAAAAATCTGGATCTCAATCCTGACTCAAAAGGTTACCTACACCCTCTCTGAATTTGCACAAGAACTTTTGTTTTTGGGAGTGCATCTTGATGGGGCGGCGGGGTTGTTATGAAATACTCAGGAACCCAGCCCAGCTCTAGAACTCACCCCTGAGCGCAAAGGCAATGTTGGTCATGCTGGTAAAGGACCACTAGAATCCAGCAGCCCGGACCCCTTTCTTTGTAGTCAAGAAAGGCGGAAAAAGGTGCAGGACTGTGACATTGGTAAGCGTAACGAATCCGATAGGCAGAGGTCCATGGGCGGTTACTTACCCTGAAAAGGAATAAGCATTAGGACCATAGAGGACGCTCTAGGACTAACGCTCATCGTTAAATTACTAGGGGTGCTGGCATCCCTATTTTTTTTTTTGAGATGGGAAACGTTCCCCTCAGGGCAAAAACACCCCTAAGATGTATTCTGGAGAATTCGGCCCAGTCAGAGTATATGTACCTTTTTCCTTCTCAGACTTGAAACAAATTAAAATAGACCTAGGTAACCCTGATGGCTATATTGATGTTTCACGAGGGTTAGGACAATCCTTTGATCTGACATGGAGAGATATATCAGATGCTAACCCCAAATGAGAGAAGTGCCGCCATAACTGCAGCCCGAGAGCTTGGCGATCTCTGGTATCTCAGTCAGGTCAATGATAGGATGACAACAGAGGAAAGAGAACGATTCCCCGCAGGCCAGCAGGCAGTTCCCAGTGTAGACCCTCATTGGGACGCAGAATCAGAACATGGAGATTGGTGCTGCAGACATTTGCTAACTTGTGTGCTAGAAGGACTAAAAAAAACCAGGAAGAAGCCTATGAATTATTCAGTGATGTCCACTATAACACAGGGAAAGGAAGAAAATCCTACTGCCTTTCTGGAGAGACAAAGGGAGGCATTGAGGAAGCACACCTCTGTCACCTGACTCTACTGAAGGCCAACTAATCCTAAAGGATAGGTCTGTCACTCAGTCAGCTGCAGACATTAGAAAAAACTTCAAAAGCCTGCCTTAGGCCCGGAGCAAAACTTAAAAACGCTATTGAACTTCGCAACCTTGGTTTTTTTATACTAGAGATCAGGAAGAGCAGGTGGAACGGGACAAACAGGATTAAAAAAAAAAAGCCACCGCTTTAGTCATGGCCCTCAGGCAAGCGGACTTTGGATGCTCTGGAAAAGGGAAAGGCTGGGAAAATCAAATGCCTAATAGGGCTTGCTTCTAGTGCGTTCTACAAGGACACTTTCAAAAGATTGTCCAAATAGAAATTAGCCACCCCCTCGTCCATGCCCCTTATGTCAAGGGAATCACTGGAAGGCCCACTGCCCTGGGGGACAAAGGTCCTCTGAGTCAGAAGCCACTAACCAGATGATCCAGCAGCAGAATTGAGGGAGCCTGGGGCAAGCGCCAGCCCATGCCATCACCCTCACAGAGCCCCGAGTATGCTTGACCATTGAGGGCCAGGAGGTTAACTGTCTCCTGGACACTGGCACAGCCTTCTCAGTCTTACTGTCCTGACCTGGACAACTGTCCTCCAGATCTGTCGCTCTCTGAGGGGTCCTAGGACAGGTGGTCACTAGATACTTCTCCCAGCCACTAAGTTGTGACTGGGGAACTTGACTCTTCTCACATGCCTTTCTAATTATGCCCGAAAGCCCCACTCCTTTGTTAGGCACAGACATCCTAGCAAAAGCAGGGGCCATTGTACACTAGAATTAGAAGGAAAAAAGGTAAATATATACACAGACTCTAAGTATACTTACCTAGTCCTCCACGCCCACACAGCAATACGGAGAGAAGGGGAATTCCTAACTTCTGAGGGAACACGAATCAAACATCAGGAAGCAAATAGGCCCCCCAAATTCTCCTTACCTCTGAATCTACTTCCTCCGATCCCTGCCTAAAGATAATTTTATGGGGAAGACGATTTACTTGTGTCTCTCCAGCTGACAATCAGGTGCCTATGTGGGTGCCCACCAAACATCTAAAGATCTATCAGCCATAGCATCTAGTGGACACCCCCTGTACAGCGAGAACTGAAGGTTTGAAAAGCCTCGGTTTGATTTCTCTATGCCTTCTGTTAATCAGAAAAGGCCTGTTTCTCATTATCGGTGGCCTCCCGGCTACAGCCACAAAAGTTTTTGCTTCTGTTTCAGTAGATTTACTAACGAGGGGGTGAGGTATGCTTCTGATTTTGCAGATGAACGAACCGTGTGGATGCCCTCAAGATGTGTACGGCCATGGAACGGGAGACTGGAGGGACCCATGGATTTCCCAGTACAAGCCATGAGCCAGTTGAATTTGAATGCCAAGATGGAACGAGGACCGACCGAGTTACGATGCTTAAAGGACTAATGCTTTCTGACTCAGCTACTCTCTACCCTGAATACAAGAGACCCTAATAGTTAAGGCAGGAGTATCATCACCCCTATTCAGCATGAAGAAGTTACAGAAGATGGACCTTCATCCTTCTGCTACCTCTAGGATTAAGGGTCCTCTTGTAAAAGGGAAAGGGGAGATATGTTGGAAGCGTTCAAACCAGAGTGACTCTAGTAATAATGACAGCTAGCAATAATGATACCTTCTCTTTTACAATAAAGAGAAGGGGGAGCATGTTGGGAAAAAGCAGTGTTTTGGGAGGGAAACCGAGGCAGGACTTGCATAATGTCCGTTGGAATGTGTCTAGCTTTCCTAGGCTCCTAGGCCCCTATTCCCATTATCTCAAGTAGCAGAACATGTTCCATATAAAAGGTAACCCATCACAGCTGTAAATCAGGTGCTTAATGCAACGTGTCCTTTTGCCCACCACATTCTCACCACCTGTTTCTTTATTGGATTACCAATAAATACTGTGGGTTCCTAGCGCCTCGGGGGTCTTCGCAGCCTCCACGGTAGTGATGGTCCCCATCGTCCCACATTTCTCTCTCAAACTTTTTCTCAGTCCTTTGACTCCACCGGACTTTGTCACCCCCACGACCTTGTGTTGGGTCTGATCGCCCCAACAATTTTGTGCCTGGGCTGCCTTGTGTTCAGGAGAGTCATTGGCTCTTGAAAAAACTGTGGCCAGGAAGCAGGAAAAGCTAGGAAGTAAGGTTTTTTGTTTGTTTTTTGAGACACAGTCTTACTCTGTCGCCCAGGATGGAGTGCAATGGAGCGATCTCGGCTCACTGCAACCTCCGCCTCCCGGGTTCTAAGGGATTCTCTTGTCAGCTTCCCGAGTAGCTGAGACTATAGGCACCCGCCACCACAACCATCTAATTTTTGTATTTTTGGTAGAGGTGGGGTTTCACCATATTGGCCAGGCTGGTCTCAAACTCCTGACCTTGTGATCCACCCATCTTTGCCTCCCAAAGTGCTGGGATTACAGGAATGAGCCATCGTCCCCAGCCTATACTTGAAAATCTTGAAAGCAGTTATGTCAGACGTGCTAACCAGAGCACCCCATCCTGAATAGCGGCTGGCTAAAATGAGGTTGAGACCTACTGAGCTGCATTCCCAGACAGTTAAGGCATTCTAAGACACAGGATAAGACAGGAGGTCAGCACAAGATACAGCTCATAAAGACCTTGCTGATGAAAGAGGTTGCAGTAAAGAAACCGGCCAAACCCCACCAAAACCAAGATAACGAGAGAGACCTCTAGTCGAGTTCTCACTGCTACACGCCCACTAGCGCCATGGCAGTTAACAAATGCCATGGCAACATCAAGAAGTTACCCTACATGGTCTAAAAAGGGGAGGCATGAATAATCTGCCCCTTGTTTAGCATATCATCAAGAAATAACCATAAAAATAGGCAACCAGCAGCCCTGGTAATAGACAGCCTTGTTCTGCCTGTGGAGTAGCTATTTTGTTCCTCCACTTTTTTTTTTTTTTTGAGACAGAGTCTCACTCTGTCTCCCGGTTGGAGTGCAGTGGCGCGATCTGGGTTCACTGCAAGCTCTGCCTCCCGGGTTCAAGCAATTCTCTGCCTCAGCCTCCCGATGTTCCTCTCCTTTCTTAATAAACTTGCTTTCACTTGCCCTGAATATTTTCTTGCTTAAGATCCAAGAACTCTCTTTTGGGGTATGGATCCGGACCCCTTTCCTGTAACAGATACACTCTATGACTTATTCAGTAGAAGCATAGAGTTTTCTATAGATCTTACAATCTACTTTCTGACCTTTTAAAATTAAGGACATAAGGATAAGACTTGACATGTTAGCATGAATAGGCCACATAGAAGTATCTTCTGCCTAAAGGATAAGGATGCTGAGCATTAAGACTTTTATCACAAGAAGGCGCGACTTGCTTTCCTAAGGTTCCTGTGGTATTTGTTTTCATCTAAATGAGTTTAGATAAAATTTCTACTGAGGCAGTAGGATGGACAATAAACCTTTCTGAGGATCCACCTTTTAGTTGAAAGATTTTAGGGAGGAAGTAGAGTGGCCAAAGTAGTTAAACAAAATAGACATTCTCATTACCATCTTACCAAGCCTAGAAGCAAACAGAGCAAAACTTATCACTTAATGACTTCTGGAGCCCATATTAGGCAGCCCTGATTTTTAATCTCTTAGCATGGTGGAAAATGAGAGAAAAAAATGCCACTTCCCCCTCTGTTAGTGTTTGTTCATCCAGCACGAGCCGGAGAACAGTGAACGCTTGTTCAACGGTCTGTTTACGCAAAACTAGAAAAATGGGTTGCATTAGCTATTCCTTTTATAAGATTTCACTCTTTCAAACTCCTAGCTGACCAGGGAACTGAGTAAAGAAACAGCTCTCACAAGGGCAAAGGAGTGAGGCAGCCTCCTGCTACTTCTCCTGAGACGGTCTGAAATACAGTTCCTCGCTTTAATCCTGAGGCAGGCGTTTGTGTCTCCGGATGAGGAGACCCAGCTGGGAGGGCTGGCGACGCCCCCAGAGCCCCCTCGTGGGTGGCGGGGCGCTCGTCGGAGCACGGCCACCTGCCCCCAGAAGCCCTCCGCTCCCCGATTCCCGGCGAGGAAAGGCGCATTCGGGGCCGCGGACCCGCCCAGCAGGGCCCCTCGCGGGGTCCGGAGGACGCCGGGTCTGCAGGGTTCACTGGTCGTGCCCCGGTCAGGTCTACCTTCATGGCTGTGCGCCAGCTGTGGGCAGGGGGCCCATACCCACGCTGTGTCCCCGCGCGTTGCCACCCCGCACCTCGCGGACAGTGGGAAGGGACAGCCCCACCATCACCTGCCACTACGCAGACTTCACGGACCACGTCCAGGCCAGAAGGACACGCTGGTGAGCATGCGCGCATTGCTACGGCGGCCGCCCTGGCAGCGCTGACGAGCCGGAAGTGTGCAGGACCGGACTTCCGGCTGCTCTGTGGGATTCGGGTTCGGGGTTTCCTGGTGGGCGTCAGCGGCCGGCAACAGAGTGCCGGGCGCTACGGCCCTGGAACGGGGCCATGGAGAAGCTGCGGCGGGTCCTGAGCGGCCAGGACGACGAGGAGCAGGGCCTGACCACGCAGGTAGAAAACGCGCGCCCTCGTCCAGTCCCGGGGCTGCCCGCCGGCCCCGGCCGCAGTGAGGACCGGCCGAGCGGGTAGGGTGGGTGCGAGGCCGGGGGTCTGGGCTTCCTCTGCTCGGCCGGTTGATTTAGGAGGGCTCCGTCTGCTTCCTGGGGAGAATTTGAGAACCTTCCTGTTTTCCATGGGGTCTACATAAACCCCCTTTGAGACCCACCCTCCAACTCTTCCATCTGGTCTCTGACTCTCAAGAACCCACCAACGCCTGCCCTCGCTCTCCCAAATAATCCATCGCTCCCACACCCTATTTGGTTTTCTGAGCCTAGTGCGGGGTTTGGCCTCGGGCTATGCAGCGTAAGTAGCTATGCAGGGCATTTATCCTGCGAGCTGCAGTGAGCCGAGACCCTAAAGCTTGTTGCATCTGTTTGTCTCTGGAGGTAAAGGAGGTACTATGTGTGTGTGTGTGTGTAGGAGGTTGGTCTTTTGGAAATAGGGAGACTGGAGGAAAAATAAACAGGACATTGATAAGTGAAATTATATTGAATTAAACATTTTCTGTTAAGGCAGTGAGTCCTGGTAAGAATTTTTTTTCCTTTCTTAATAAAAGCCCTTGTGTCTGCGCCTTACCAGCGAGAAGGTAAGAAGGTTCAAAGTAGCAGTGGAGCAGGAACTGCGGTATAGGTATTTTTGTTATTGCTTGAGATTATATTGCGTATTATTGTGCGCTGTCACAGAAGTTGGACATTTAAAATTGTATTTCATAAGGCTCTTCTGTTTGTCTCTTCCTGACTTCCTTGTCATTATACTTACTCAGTACTTCTTGTGGGCAGAGTTCTGGGCTAGAGTTTTGGGTTCAGAGAGTGTAAGACAAGTATCTGTTCTCATTGCGCTCTGTAACTCTGTACATTACCACAGCCACATGTGGCCAATTAATTTTTTTTTTGTTTTTTTTTTTTTTTGAGATAGAGTCTTGCTTTGTCGCCCAGGCTGGAGTGCATCTCGACTCACTGCAACCTCTACCTCCCAGATTCAAGCAATTCTCCTCCCTCAGCCTCCTGAGTAGCTGGGATTACAGGCACCTGCCGCCACACCCTGCTAATTATTTTGTATTTTTAGTAGAGATGGGGCTTTCACCATGTTGGTCCGGCTGGTCTCGAACTCCTGACCTCAAGTGATCCGCCCACCTTGACCTCCCAAAGTGTTGGAATGACAGGCTTGAGCCACAGTGCCTGGAGCAATTAAATTTAAATTAATTAAAATTAAATAAAATTTAACATTCAGTTCTTTAGTCACAGCAACCACATTTCACATGTTCTGTAGACACATGTGGTTAAAGGCTAGTGTATTGAACAGTGAAGATATAGAACATTTGCATTGCAGAAAATTCTATTGGACAGTGCTACTCTAAACTTTGGAGATGCGAAGGTAATATCACTTATCTTGAGCTCACTGTCTAGAGGGGAGAAAAGATACGTGGAGAAGTAATCAAAGATTAGAGTGACTGGCTGTATAGACAAGTGCTGCGAGTTCAGAGGAGGTGATCATTCATTAACAAATATTCAAGTTCCTGCATATGTTTGACATTGTTCAAGATGCACGTGTTAATAACAAGTGACCAGTGCAAATACCTCCTTCACATGGAACTTAAATTTTAATTGGAGGAAACAATGAATAAACAAGTAAGTGTATAATGTGTCAGACAGCCACAGAAAAAGTCAGAGCAGATTGAGGAGGTTGAGGTTGCCGTATTAGATAAGGCCTTCGTGCCAGGGAGCCATGTGTGCACAGCTCAGAATTGCTGCTGGGATGTCTGAGCGTCCTGTGAATAAGGGCCTCCAAGGCAGAGGGCCCAGCAGATACAGAGTCCCGAGTGGAGTGTGGTCAGCATGTTCAGGGCCAGTAAGGAGGCAAGAGGGGCTCTAGCAGCGGGGCAGAGAAGAGGGACAATTGTAGGAGAGAAGGTGAGGCAGGAAGGGGGATTTTCAATTGTGGGGGTTCTCATAGGCCATGGAAAGGATTTTAGCTTTACTCTTGAGTGTGATAGGAAGCCTTTGGGTTTTGAGTAGAGTGGTGGTGTGACCGACTTGGATTTTAAAGGATCACTCTGGCTGCTCTGTGGAGAACAAACTGTAGAGGCAAGGTTAGAAGCCCAGAGACTGGGCTGGAGACAAGTACAGTTGTCCTGGCAAGAGATGACTGTGGCTCAAATCAGTGATACAACTGGTTTAAAAAGCGAAAAAGCCTGTTTAAAAAACAAAAAAGTGATCAGATTCTGTAAATGGTCTGAGTGTGCAGCCAGCAGGCCTCACTGTTGACGGATTGGATGTGTGAGTGAGAGGAGGCAAGGATGCCTCATGCGTTCGACCTAAGCATCTTGAGAAGTGGAGTTGCCATTAAGTGAATGTGGGAGGAGCAGGTTCAGGGAGGAAAATCATTTCAGTGTGGATGTGAGGTCTGAGATCCAGGTAGCATCCAAGTGGAGATGTCAGGAAAGCAGTTGGACATAAGACTGTAGAGTTTGTGGGAGGAAATAGGAGAGAGATGAGATCGTCAAGTAGAAAACAGATGAGATCCAAGGTTTGACCTCTGGTTTTCTCTGGTGTGTAGAGGTTTAGAGGATGAGTAGCAGCCAGCAAAGACAGCTGAGAGGATCGGCAAGAGGAGGAGGAGGAGAACCCAGAGAGAAGGATGCCCCAGAAAGTGAGGGAAGAGAGTGCTTTAGGAAGGGGAGGGGACCCAGTATTGTTAATGGGTTTCAGAAGTTAAGGGCAGGTTACCTGTGGAGGTTATCAGTTGTCACTTCCACGAGAGCAGTCTTGGTGGCTGGATGGGGACAGAGGCCTGATTGAAGTCAGGGGAGAATAGAAAGAAGATGGAATCAGTATGGGCATCTCAGTGATTTTTCCTGTGGAGCAAAGAAGTGGGTGGTAGTTGAAGGATGCAGTGAGGTTGGGGAACATGTCATTTTCCCAAGGAAAATACTGGATGTTTCTGTGCTTTGGGAATGGTCCGGGAAAGGGGAAAATGATGGTGCAGGCAAGAGGGGATTGTTGCTAGGGGGCTATTGAGGAGTGACTTGGAAAGCAAGTGTCTCTAGGGAGGAGGAAGGGGCAGGAAGTGGCAGTGAGGAGGGAAGACTCCTGGCTCACTGCTGTCCAAGTGGTGCAGAATTCGCAGGGGAGAGCCCTGGCCCTGGAGACTAAATTTCAAACCTAGCAGGAAGGTGAGAGGATCCTCAGAGAAGAGGGTGAGGACATAGGGAGGTTTGCTGTTAGTTTTTGGAGATGGGTAGGAGACAAGATGGGATTAAAGGTGCACAGACCTGAATGGGGTGAGGGATGACCTGAGAGTGTTGCCCTTCTTGTGCAGCAAGACGTAACCAGGATAGTGGGCACGTTGGAATTGGGTCTTGACAGGGATGGTTCTCGGCCAGTTGAGGAGTTGGGCGAGGCAGTGAAGGTCATAGGGGAGCATGCTGACATCCAGGCTGTGTCGCCCTCCTGTGGAGGTGCTTTGAGCCCAGGGGAGAGGCACGGTAGCCAGAGTTCTGGGACACCTCTTTTGAGATGTCTGGGAAGAAGTCAAGGAGGGAGAGATGTTGAGCCAGGTCTTAGAGTTGATCATATTCCTCCCTTGATCACATCCTTCGGTGACTTCCTGCAGCACCTGAATAAAATCCAGATCCCTCCCTTGGCCTCTCAGCCCTTCACTGCTTGTTGGCCTGCCTCCCTACCCTCTCCCCAGTGCTTGCATTGCCCGGCCCTCTTTCTCCTCCTCAGTTGGAGCATTTTCTTCTGCCTGGGAGACTTGGCATTGCATTTCTTTTTTCTGGAATGCCCCTTCCTGGCTCTTTTCAGAGTTGGATTGGTCACTTCCTGATGTCTTTATTTGGTCACCTCTTTAGAGAGGCCCTTCCTGACCCAGTTACGCTGCCCCTATTTATGTCCTTAGTAGAACCTGCCTTATTAGTTTATTGCCCATTTTCCCCCATCTGAATGTAAGTGCACTACGTTCTGTCTTATTCCCTTCTGTGTATGTAGAACCTACCAAGTACCTGACGTCTAATAGCTGTTCATAACTACTTGTTGAACAAACAGAGGAGTGAGTTGTTTGGATTTGGGTAACTACCAAGGAGAGGTGAGGGCATTGGCATAAGGTACTTGTTGGGAGTTAGATGACAAGAATGGCAGGAACATTCTACAGAGTTCTCTTGTGAGAGCCCCTACTAACCCCTGCTGACACTTTGTGAGATGTCTTAGTCCATTCAGCCTGCTGTAACAAAATACCTTAGACTTGGTGATTTGTAAGCAACAGAAATTTATTTCTTACGGGTTTGGAGGCCGGAAGTCAGAGATCAAGGTGTGCTCATGGGTTCTTGGTGAGCCCCTCCCCGCTTCCTGGTGTCACACTGTTGCCTCTGTTTACATCTTGACATGGCAGAGAACAGACAGCTTTAGTCTCTTTCTCGTCTTACTAGGGCATGGATCCCATTGATGAGGACTCCACCCCCATGACCTGATCATCTCCTGAAGGGCCATCTTCCAGTACCATCACCATGGGGCTGAGGATTTCAGCAGACACTCAGACCATAGCACACGGGTTGAGACAAGTCCATTTGCTTGTTGACTGAGTATTTCATATTTACAAATGGCATTAATTTATCATGTTTCACTTCAAACATCACCGCGTGGAGGATGATAATAAGAGAAAATTGCCTAATATACAATTTAAGCTCTCTCTGCCTCTCCCACTTAGAAGATTGTAAATATACCTACCTTATCTACTTCCCT